CATACACACACATACGTACGGCGCACAGGACACAGGGGTTTGGCTGCCTGGCAGGCCATCAATTTCCCACTCTCTCTCTTCCGCCCACACTCATCAGGCCGCATCATGATGATGTTTGTCTGTTGGTATGTCTGCCGCAGCTCTCCCCCCCTCTCTCTCCCTCTCTCCCTTTCACTCTGTGTGTTAGCTACAATTTCCTTTCACTTGACTGACACCCAAAGCGGCAGCAGCAGCAGCAGCAATGTCCTGCACACACACTCAAGGATTGTGTAACATGTTTCTGGTCCTTCTTCTTCTACTTTTTTATGGTGTGAGCTGAAATGGCAGCCACTTCCGGCGCGCTGTCAGTCAGCAGCTGTGCCTGTGTGTGTGCGTGCGGGTGTGTGTGTGTGCGGGTGTGTGTGTGTGTATTGGTGTGCCATTTTTGCGCTTTCTCGTATTACACTTGACTTGGCTGCTGACGCTGGCTGTCTGCTCGGCCGCAACTTCAATTGACCTTTGACTGAGTGCAGGTCGCCCCCCCCCCCCCACCTCTCCCTCCCCCTCCAGCCCACGCCTGTCCTGTCCTGCCTTGGTAAGCACATTTTGGCCAACTTATGCGGCAGCACGCGCACGCAGAGCGAGCCAAGTTTTGTTGTAGCTCAGCTTGTTTGCTATTTGGATTTTGCTGCCAAAAAAAAAACGAGAGAAAAGAAAAGGCTTAAAGCCTCTTGAGCTTTTGGCTAATTGTCCTTATGTGACTTGACTTACATACGCTTATCAGCTCCTTCCACCTGCTCCGGTTGCCTGCCTTTCCCTCCTCCACTCCCCCTCCCCCATCCCCCTTCATTCTGTCTGTGCTTCCTGTTGTGCTAGTCGAGGCGTTGCTGCGTTTCCGTTGCTTCCTGTGGCTCAGCTTTTATCAGCCTTTCACTATCGCTTGCCTTGGCTATTCTCTGCCCCTCCTCATTCCCCTCTTTCCTCTCATTCTCTTTATTTTGTTTTATTTTGGCAAGGACACGCCGCCGGCGCTCAGGTAACTTTTGCACTATTTTTATCTACAACTTTTGTGTGCATCTCGTGTGGCCAGTTACGTGTAACCCTTCCCCCTTCCCCTTACCCCTCTTCCCACTCTTTCCCCTTGGGGCGCCTCCTTCTTGCTATCTGGCAGCATTTTGCCATTTTAATAGGTCAAATGTTGCACGCGATTTTCCTGCTAACCTCACTCTCTCTTTTATTTCTCTCTCGGTTGCCAGCACTCCCGGCTGGTTATTTAATAGTTTGGCGCTTACTAATTGCATTGTCCTAATTGCCCAAGTTGCGCTTGAATGTGCCGAAAAAAAAAGAAGGAAAAACTATAAAAGAATGCAAAAAGTAAACAAGAAAGTGGGCAGCGTTAAGCTTGTAGATACCCTGTAAATGTTTCTATACTCCTACTTCTCTCAAGGCTGCCTTTAGGAATCGAAATATTCTTGCCCTTTGCCTATCATACCCTTGACCCATTTGATATGATGTACAGGGTATTAACGGAATGTTGTTGTGGGGCAGCAGCAGCTCCCAGAATTGTTGAATTGTTGCATGGCTGAATCTGATTTCTGGTTGCCCTGCAGGCAATCAAATGCCTCACATCAAGGCTAACAACATGAATATGTTTGTGTATGTGTGTTGTACATATTTGTGTATATGTGTGTGTGTGCAATATTGAAATACATTTGCAGTTGTGAAATACATTTTTGATGAGCACATCAGGATTTTAGGGGATTAGCTGTTGGAAAACAGGAAATAACCCACATAGATAAATTACAATTTGTCGATAATTAGTATAAAATGTTTTGGAATGGAAAGATATAAAAAATTAATATTTCGGAAAGAGCAACACATTATATAATATTGATAACAATGGTCATACAATGATCGATATTTAGAATTACTTTTGATATTGTCGATAACTCTTTAAGCTATCGAAAATATCGATAATAGAATTAACTTCTAGCATTGCACCGACAATATTGATGCTGATACGGTAATTAAATCGATACTTTTAATTACTTCCGATAACTCTTAAAGCTATCAAAAAGTGCTTTCTAATTTTAATATTTCTATAATTCTTATCAATAATATCGATAATGAAATTACCTTCTAGAATTGCAACAATTTATATCAATATCAATAGTGAAGATGATACGGTAATTAAATAAATACTCTTAATTACTTTTGATTCGAATGATATTCCGATAATTCTTATCAATACTTGCATATGTTATCGATAATGTACGTTCAAATAATAGCGTTAGTTGCAACTGTCGATACGCATTGTTAATCGATAGTTAAATCGATGATCGATAACTCTTCTGGAAAATATCGATAATGTGCATTTCGATAATTCTTATGAATAATTGTGGATACTATCGATAATGTACTTTAAGATATTATATCGTTACTTGCAACTATCAATATTTATCGATAATTTACCTTGCAGTGTTGCACCAATTTATGTTTCGATAAATGTTATAATGCAAGCACTTATCGTTAATCGATAACTTAAATAGAGCACTTCACAAAGTCGGCTGAACAGTCGCGCTATCATGCCCACAGACTTTGTGAAATGTTTGTGTTTCATTATTAAATTCTTTTGGTGGTTCGTTTTCATTGGCATTACGCGTGCAATTTTCGCACGTGGAATTTTGCAATATACATTCGTCGAGTGGTCGCCACAAAACCAGGTGTGTGTGCGCTGTGTGGGCGGGTGTAAATTCTCTCTCTCTGGCTGCTGTTGATTAAATTCCGCTGATAGCGCTCATGTTGTCATGTTTGCCGTGATTTTCCGGTTGACCTCTGCCAGTTGCCAGTTGCCAGTTGCTCGGCAGCACGCGCTGACTTTGCCCATTTTCAGGGCCCGCACTTTGTGATGGGCCCTGAATTGATTTTAATAATGCAATTTCTCGTACATTTTAACGACTTGGCCCACAAATGAGCTGCCGGGCGCCCAATCTCTCTCTCATATAATACGCATGTTAATAATTAAGAACTCGGCGCAGAATTTTTCATTCCTCCCGAGTTACGCGGATTTATGTCAGGGGCACACTTAGGGCGAAAGCTTTTAGTTTTTCATTAATTTCACTTTTCAAGAAAAACAGAAACACGAATTTTGATGTGCCTAAAATAAATCTTTGCTGTTGAAAAACATTTTGGAAATGTGACGCGATTTAATGAGAGCAGCAAGCGCTACAGATATCGTATCTATATATATATATATATATACATATATGTATATGTGGATTTATGGATACATCTTCATATTTATATTTAGTTCTTGTATTTAGATATATTTTTTGGTTATTTATTGGCGTTGATTTATGGCCACAAGAGTTGGCACCAAAAAAACGAAACGAAGCGAACCGAACTGAGCAATAATCACGTGTAGATACATTAGCTGACCCACAGACACACACACACACACACACACCCACATACATACATATCAAAAACATACACAGATACACACACACACTTCACGTACATAAACAAACCTTGGTTTTCGATAAAGCGCCATCAATTTGGACTTATTGATTGCTAATGAAATTATAATTATGTTTTTTCTTTTTTGTAGCTTTAGTCGATACACGAGTTAGCATTGTTCGGCGGGGGGGGTGTGAGGTGTTAGGGCTGGAGGGGGGGGGTGGGTAGAGGGGGGAGGGGCTTTGAAGGGGCGTGCAAGTGCGCTGCAGTTGGATTGTGAGTTGAGATACGACTTGGAGCAAACATATTTAAGCTTAACGCTAATTGAACTCTGCCTCATATTAAGCTAGAGCCGTGTACAGTGGTCACTCGTAAAGGAAACCTAACAGATTTTATCAGCTTAATATAAATTGAGCACTCCTTATAGGAATTATCAGCCGGAAATATAATATATTTGCCTTTTCAAAGTGGATTAGCCTGGAATTCCACCTGGAACTATGGAAATTAGAATAATATTGACATTTATATATTCATGTATTTGGAAAATACTTTGGCGATATCTTCCATCTATCTTTAAAATGAATTATTAACCTTAGCCTGGGAATACCATCTAGATCTTGACCATGGGAATTAGAATAAAGATTTATTTATTTTTTTTAGCGTTTGAGAATAATATAAATTGATAAAATATAATAGAGAATATTCGAAAGCCTATTGCAATTGCTTTAAATATCTTTAAGAATCATTATTTACCTTAGCCTGGGAATACCACCTGGAACTATGCTAATTAGAATAAAGAAATTTATCTTGGTTTACCTCTTGCTTTTATAAAATAGACCTTTATATATTCATGTATTATATAAATACTTTGGCGATACAATATATAAAATATTGGAAATCCTATTGAAATTGGTTTAGATATCTTTTAATAATAATTCCCGACTATGGGAATAAGAAAGAAAAGATTTTTTTATGTTTGTTTACCTTTATATAAATTAATAAAAATAAATAAATCTTTATTCTTATTCCTTAATTTATATATATTCATGTCTTCGATCTCTCTTCCAACTATCTAGTCCGTTCAATTTGGCGCGGGCTCACTGTGAATGTATCTATGCATCTGCTAGATACATTATTTTGGCCATTTTATTGTTTGCTGCTGCTGCCGTTTGACAGTCAACTTTGTGTGTCGCCGCCGCTTGTTGTTAAATTTAAACTCTCTGCGCTATTTGCCTGCCCCGCAGCGCTCTGAAGGTGAATTTATGGCGCACACATGTGTCGCCAGTGTCTCCGAGCTACCTCAGCCATGTCTCTCCCTCTCCCTCTCTCTCTCTCTCTCTCTCACTAGTTGTCGCTCTCTGTCTTCTCCTTAGTGCATTGGCGGGTCTCTCGTGTGACATGTGTCGTCGCTGTGTTCCCAAAATAGATGCATTTCGAAATGTAGGGGGCAATTTTTCAGGCGAAGATCAGAGGCTGCCTCTGCCTCTGCGTCTGCCTAGCTAAAACGTATTTTAACTCAAATTCTCTCTCTCTCTCTCTCTCTTTCTCTGTCTCTCCCTTAGTTTTGGACAAAGCAAACATAGCAGTAAAAACTAAAAAGAAAAGCTGAAGAAAAGCAAGGAAAACAACAACGCACACATACAGCAAAAGGCGCTGAGAAAAGAAGAAGAAACTGGAAAACGCAACGCGACGTGTGACCTGAACTGACCTGACCTGACGTTACGTGACGGCATAACAATATTAATGCGTGTTAGACTAAACAAGAGGAACACAGAACGAACCAGCGCCGCGTAAAGCCGTCAGAGGAGCAAAAGGAGAACTCTACCAAGAGAAGCGAAAGAGAGCGAGAGCGAGAGAGAGAGAGAGATAAGCTCTCGCATACTTTGGAATCGAATTTCTTGCGCCCCCAAGTTAAAGGAAAACAGCCTCAAGATTCTGCCCTTCGGTGCCAACTTTCGTCTGGAGACGACACCAGCCGAAATGCACAAAATAACAGCCGCACCAACTGCGGCCACAGGTGCGCCAACCGGCGCACTGGAGGCGCCACTGGCAGCGCCCAAATACGGCACACTCATACCCAATCGCATCTTTGTGGGCGGGATCAGGTAAGCAATCCGGCTCGGCTTATCCCTTAAATACATATCCATACTAATCCCTCTCTCTCTGATCTATCTCTTCGCAGTGGCGACACCACCGAGGCGGATCTGACGCGTGTCTTCAGCGCCTACGGCACCGTGAAGAGTACAAAGATAATTGTGGATCGTGCCGGTGTTAGCAAGGGCTACGGATTTGTTACCTTTGAGACAGAGCAGGAGGCGCAAAGACTGCAGGCGGATGTGAGTAGAATCGTTTTGTGCACACACAACAATTTGCTAATGTCGCCTGTGTTAATTTATCGATTAATTATCGATTATGATTTATCGATGCTTATTTGTAACGGGAAGTCCACACAACACACACACACAACACACACACACATACTCACCTTACACTCACTTACAAAAAACAGCTGCAAACGTTATAATGTGCCTCCGATCTTTTAGGGCATTACCTGACCCGCAGACACCACGCCGCACGCACGCACACACACGCCTCTATGTGTGTGTGTGTATGTGTGTGTGTGTGTGTTTGTGTGTGTGCAAGCAAGCAACAACACAAAGCGACGCCGTCAACACACCTGCCACTAGCTGTCTGAGCGTGCCACGAAACTAAACGTGTATCGGCGATATTTATCGTTTATCGATTTATCGATTGTCTATCGATGACGGTACGGACGGCCAATTGTAATTCTTATGTATTTCTGTATTTCTTCTAATTGCGTTTTTGTTGAGTTACGTTTCCGAGTTACGTTTCCGTTGCGTTACGTTACGTTACGTTACATTATATTACATCCATAATCACACACAAACACACACAAACACACATCTACACACACTTTAACATAGTTTTAGTAAGACATCAAATTGCATTTGTTAGCTCGTTAGCTCGACGGCTGTCCCGTTCTGTTTTTGTATGTTATCGATAACCTGTTATCGATAACACGCAAGTTCGTGTTGAGTTCGTTGTGCACCGTTTTAAAATTTATAGTTTTCATACAATTTTTCAATAATTTTTTTCTCTTTAACCATTTTTGCGCAAATTAATCAAATTAGCTAATTACGCCCACGCCTCGGTCTTGTTTCTAGAGTAGATCTTACGTCTATATATATATATACAACAAATATATTGAGCTAGAGCCTAGTGCATTTTTTTGCTATACGAATTTTGATTTCGATATTTTTCGTTGCGATTTACAATTAATTATACTTTTTCTCAATTATGCAATTTTGTACAAAATGGAATGAGGCTATCTTGTGGAAGGGGCGGGGCTGGGCGGGGCGGGTTACTATTTAGCTTGTCACCATAAAAGTTCAGTTGCTGGCTCAACCCACGCACCACGCCCTCCTCCTCCCCCCCTGCCCTCAACCCTCTCGTCAATTCCCATTTAGCTAAACGAGTTCCTAAATAAAGTCAGCAGCTTTCTGACGGGCTGAGAGAGAGCCTTATTAGAAATTGTATTGCATTTTGATTAGAGTGTTGCATAACAGCCAGCAGCTGCCAGTGTTGTGAGCCCTCTTCTCGTTACCTCCCCCCCCTCACCTCGCTGTATCTTCTTTTGTGTGTGTGGCATACATTAAGTGAAAAAGTTTTCCACTTGTCATTAAATGTGCATTGTTATTGCGCTGCTGGCGCTTTGCACATTTTCAGTGTTGCACACACACACACACACACACACACACATAACTAGGTGTGCTGCTGTGTGTGTCCTTGTATGCTTACATGCTTTAACAACTCGCCTCTCCAACCCCGCCCCTGCCCCTGCCCCCGCTCCGCCCCTAGCCTCGGGCGCAACAATGGGCCTGCCAGCCGTGGCAACGTTTAACGAGGTTTTAATGCGCACACAACACACACACACACTCATACTCACACACACACACGCATATATATATAGACATGCACACATTTGCACTAATTAAATTTCGTTTATCCAAAAAATTTCATTTGTGTTCGAGTTAAAGCTAACGCCCAAATAGACTACCCAAGCCTTACAGATCTAGTCTCCGGCTATGCCCAACAGCAACCACAACGTGCAGACATATACACACACACGCACACACACACACACACACACACAGGCACACACACACACACACGAGCAGCTCTTCAGTCATCTCTTGGCGTTTACTAAACTCCTGTGTATGTTTTTTGATAGCGCACTAAATCCACACATTAGTATACACAATTACCAAGGCAACACACACACGCACACACACACACACACGTACACACACACACACACACACACACAAGATGCACATACATAGAGACAGTCAAGAGCCTGGGCTCCACTTCAAAGGGGCGCACTCGATACCGAAAATTGAAATGTTACTTTGGCCAACAAATTTTGAATGCGTATATTAATGCGCATGCCAGGCTGACCAATAGGGATTTTCCGGGCTGGGTGGGTGAGGGAGGGGTGGGGTGGGGGGGGCGGGGTTGCTTTCCACACTTTATAAATGTTGTAAGACACTGGACCGCCTCTTGTTGTCCTTTTTGTGTGTGTGTGTGTGTGCGCAGAGAAAGGCAACAAAGAAAAGGGGCCCAGCCGTGTTTGAGAGGATTCTTAATTAAATTCGCCCAAGACAAAAGTGGGTCGTGCGTCGTGTCCTCCCTGTACCGAGAGCACCGAGAGCAACTCTTTTGTTTTTTTTTCTCTCTTTTTTTTTTGTGTTTTATTTATAACTGTGGGTCGGCCTTTTGTGTTATATGGACGCTTATCCTTGTGTTGCTTGACGTCTTTTATGCTTTGAGGGCTAAATGAAAGAAAAAAGACTGCGCCGTTTGCCCTGCAGCGGTCAAAGGATACGGCCGGAAAAAGCATACAAACGCGAGTCGTTTAACAACTTTAAGAAACGGCAGCAGGAGGAGCAGCAGCTGCTCCGTAAATATTTGCTTAGGACACAGCTCCGCCCATCCTCCCGACCCATGAATGGGTCCTGCGATGGCTTTTCATGCATCTCAAGTGCAAATTGCTGCGGCTATCAGCGCCTAATTGCCAATTAAAGATAAACTGACCCATGTAACCGGCTCCGGGCTCGGTAGAAAGCGATTAAAGCGGGAAACCTTATCGATAGCTTTGGAAAAACTTTCCTTAAATACAAAGAAATCCTTTCAATACAGGTAAATTAAAATTCATAAAGGGAAGCCTTATCGGATAGCATTAAAAAAGCTACCCTAAAACAGGAAACCTTATCGGATAGCATGAAAATCCTTTCCATAAGGGAATTTTCCAGCTAATAGAACAATCACGTAATTGTAATATAGCCCCACAATACATTCGAGAAGCAGAAATCATTGTTTAAATATATTTTAATGCACTTCCTACTAGGTGGCAACTCCATAAAAGAATTAATCCTTGCACAGATTTGTATTAGGTGGCAATCGACATAGTAGTACCTAAAATCTCTACAACCAGATACTATTTTCTTTACTTTTGTGGCAACTCCATAAAAGAAATAATCCTTGCATAGCTTTCGACTAGGTGGCAACCTGGTAGCTTTACAGACAAATCAGCTACATTCGACATAGTACCCAAGATCTGAATCAATACATTCAAGCACTGCCATAATGGAAATAATCCTTACACAGATTTGTACTAGGTGGCAACCCGATAGCTTTAGAAACAGGACAGATGCTCACATTACATTCAAGCAGAAATCATTGTGCTGTTGTGGCAACACTATGAAAGAAGTAATCCTTGCATATCTAAAGACTAGGTGGCAACCCGATAACGTATTACTGCTAGCTTTACAGTCCGATCCATTCGACATAGTAGTACCCAAAATCTCCACAAGCACACTCATAATAACCTGCATATAATAACATTGTAACTCCATGAAAGTAATCCGTGCATAGTTTGACTATCTGGTAACCCGATAACGTATTATTTGTAGCTTTACAGAAGAGTCAGATCCATTCGACATAACCAGTTTATAGGGGGCCCACAATATATATTCGATCAGAAATCATTGTGATGTTTATTGTAACGCATTTTTACTAGGTGGCAACTCTATACAAATAAACCTTGCATAGCACTCTACTAGGTGGCAACCCGATAACGTATTACTGCTAGCTTTACAGTCCGATCCCGAAGTCAGATCCATTTTCGACAGATCCATTCTCCAACTAACCCATAATAAGAATTTATGTCCTTGTCCTTTTCGAGGTTAGTTTTTGAGTATTCAACACACGCAACTTGTACATTTTTAATTAATAACTTGACGATTTGGTGTTGGCGTTCTTGAATTAAAATAAAATAGTTGTTAATTTGAATTGATTTTGATTGTGACGCGTAAATTGTTGTAAAGCCAAACTGATGGAAGCTTTAATCCAAAAAAAAAAAAAAAATCCGCTTAGTTGAGTTCAATATTGTTTTATGTGTTTTTTTTTGTACGTTTGTTAAGCAACGAGTTTTTGTTGTTTCAATTTATGTGCCGCGCGCAGAGACATAAAATTACAAAAGTCAAAACCAAAGTGAAACATTCCAAACCGAATTGCAGTACATGACATTTTGTAATAATTAATACACACACACACACATAAACAATGCCTAAACTATATACTATACTACTTGATATACATACTTTGGTAATGGTAATTTTTTATATATATATATTGGTTCGTTTTTTTTTTCTGGCTTGGCACGTGTTTTTCTTCAATCTGTTGGCCACATTTTTGGGCTCTGCCGCTGCCACCAAAAAAATAGAAAAAGAGAAAAAGAAAAAGATATAAAAACTGCGCCTTTTATTTAAGTTTCTTTTGGTTCTGTTTTTTTTTTTTCTATTGAGAATTTTTTTGATGCTGCTGCGTTCGATTTGAATTTCCAATTTGAATTTCGTTTGGCTTGTCTGTTGATGCCACACACAACACACACACACACAACAAGTTCTTGCCACAAAAAAAAAGAAAAAGAAAAAAATATCATAAAAATTCTCAACTAAATATGCGCTCTCTCTCTTCTCTTCCCCGACAACTCTGCGCTCTCTCAGGGTGAGTGCGTGGTGCTGCGCGATCGCAAGCTGAACATTGCGCCAGCCATCAAGAAACAGGTGAGACACGGGCTTATAATAGAGTATATTATATTATATGTTATATTTTATCAAATTTTCCCCTTAGCCCAATCCGCTGCAGTCGATTGTGGCCACAAATGGAGCCGTTTATTATACAACCACGCCGCCGGCACAGATGAGCAATATACCCATGGATCAGTTTGCCGCTGCCGTCTATCCGCCAGGTGAGAGCTTGAAGATAATAGATAGATAATCTATCTCTTAGTTACATCAGATTGTGTGCTTTAAGTTTCCGTGTTCTTATGGCTTTAGTTGTGTGTTTTAAAAACGATATTTTCTTTTTTATATTCCAATTTTCACTCTCTTTCTCTACAACAACAAAAACAAACAACAACAACAACAACAACACATCTATAAACAATCTATGTTACGCCGGACAAATTAACCAAAACTAGTTACTGACTTTACAGCCGCTGGCGTTCCAGCCATCTACCCACCTTCAGCCATGCAATATCAGCCATTCTATCAGTACTACAGCGTGCCAATGGTAAGTAAGACGAACCAAATACCATATACCATATATCATATACTTAAGATAGATATTATGGGATAGTGAGTGCAAAGTAAAACATTTTATTATAGATACAGGGTCCTGGGATATGGTTAAGGTGGAGGATACTCCCTGAAATAATTCTCTTTTAGATTAATATTGTGGGATATTGATAGGATGAGGTTTCTCTGGGATAGAGGGGCTTTCTCTGAAATGGGTTTTTTTTTTGGGATTTAAAGATTAGATTTGTTCAAAAACTGAAACGTGTTTGAATATGCCTTTATATCGATACTTTAATATAAGGCATTTCATCAGAAGAATAAAGATTAGCTGAAGGATATTTCTTAAAAACCAAAGTATCCTTTAAGGATCTCTCACACTAACGACTTGCCTTCGGCTAATTGATTTTCCTTGGGGTTCCGGGAATTTTCTGCCATCTATTTAATAGTGATCGACCTCCTCTGCTCAGTAGATGGCGCCACATAGAAATTATCCTTTATTTTTTTTAATATTATGGGATGTTAACTCCAAGATAAAACAGTTTTGAATGGTATGATATAGGATATGATGGTTCTTTAGGATACGATTTGTAAAGAGTTTACTCTGAAATGTGTTTTTGGGATTTTTAACTGTCCTTCCTATAATTTAGTTAACATGCAGATTAGTTGAAGCATATATCTTAATATATATTTTAATAGGGCCTCTCAATCTATCGACTGGCCTTCGGCTAACTGGTTTACTTTGGGGTTCAGGGAAAGGTCTACCATTTAATAGTGATCGCCCGCCTCTGCCCAACAGATGGCGCCACATAGAAGTTAGGCTAAGCCTTTTTTGTATTCCTAAAAACTAAAACTCTTTCTTTCTCTTCTCTTATCTTACAGAATGTACCCACCATTTGGCCTCAGAACTATCAAGGTAAATAGAGCGCAATGCTCTCTCTCTCTCTCTCTCTCTCTCTTTTACTTTCTCTCCGCCTAGCGTGCTTTCACTCGCTCTCTCTTTCGCTCCCTTTGCCTGAACACACTTTGTTCTCCGATGCTTGCTCGTATATATCCTATATATATCTATATATATCTATCTATATATTACCGTATTTATCTGTATATTTGCTGTAGTTTTTAACACACACCTCTTTGTGTACGCTTTGTTTTTCTATCTTTCTTTCTTTTCGGTTCTTGCTGCACAACCATTCAACGCCGTTAAAAGGTTAAATCAAACCAACAACAACCACAACAACAACAACAACAACAACAACAACTACTACAACAACAACCAGAACAACTAGAACAACAAATTTTCGTAGTCGCCAAGATTTTTCGTTGAGAGCTGCCCGAGCAACAACCACAAGCAGCAGCAGCAGATGCAACAGCAACAACTACAACAACTACAACAACTACAACAACAACAACAAGAACAACTACAACAACAATAACAGCCACTAGAACAACGCTGCAAAAAAAAACCCCGCCACGCTCTGCAGTTGCCCGCAGTTTCCGCACAAAGAATACAACATACAAAAATTTAGTTTTAATTTTAATTGCTAAATTAATTTACTATATTTTAATTTAACTCTCTCACACACACACACACACACACACTGCGCTCTAGGCGTCAATTATTAGTTAAATGCCACGCCCCCGCCCCTACGCGCCACTTATTTGTACCGCTAGGGGGCGCCCTAGAAGAAGGAGAATTAGTCAAAAAAGGCAACAAAAAAAGAAAAAAGAATTTTATTTTTGTATATGAAAATATTTATTTTTGTAACTGCGCCATTTATCTAATTAATTCTTGTTTTTGTTATGATGCTTGTGCATAATATTGTAGCTAACGTAAACATGTAGTAGTGAGCACACACACACACACCATCCACACACACACACACAGATGAATATGCTTGAAATGTATGCAAAATGTTCTTCGACTGTTTCTTGTAGGCATTTATCCCTGTTAACTTTGAGGATGCAGCAACAACTACAACAACTACAACAACAAAAGCAATAACTAAAAAAAAACTGATGCTACTTACTACAACAAGAACAACAATAGCAACAACTACAGCAAAGCATTAATAGAATTTATTTAAACGGCAGCAGCTGCTTAAAAATATTATAATAGCTACATTTTCTATAGCTACATTTTCTATAGATACGTATAGATACACAGTTGGAAATCAACCAAGGACACACACACACATACGCATGCACACACGCATGCACACATGCACACATACACACACAGAAGAAGTGCATAAGCAGCTTATGTTTTTAGTTGATGGAGCAGGCTTAAGAGCGGGCGGGGGAGGGGGGGAGAGCGGGCGGCGAGTCAGACTTGACTGTACTCCAGTCGCAACATTTAATAATGTGCAATTAGCGGAGAGGTGGGATGGCTGCCAAAGGGGTAAGTGGTGGGGGCAGTGGGGGGAAAGTGCAGGCAACATTGTTGCAGCTGCTGCTGCTGCTGCTGCTGGCAAACGGCAAATGAAAGACAGAAATAAACAGCAGAAATAAATTTATATGTAGAAATTTATAATTTTGGGTTATTTAGCACAAATGGGACAGATACACACCCACACACACACACACACACACACACACATACACATACACACACACAGAGAGAAGCAAGTCAAGTCAGCTAGAATATTATTTATTGAGGCAGTAGAACGAACGGCAAATATACTGAAGAGAGTGAGGGTAGAAGAGAAGCGCGCAGAGTATAAGAGAGCGTGCAACGGGGCGGGCAGCAGAACGAAAGTTGAAAGACATAAATTATGCATAAATATTAATTTATATAAAATACACACGCACACAACACACACACACATACACATTAATGTAAATGCAACTGTAAATGATAACGGTAAATGTTATACACATACAGCGATACAAAGCAAAAGCAAAACGTAACTAAATACTTAGTTAAAAAAAAGTAAAAAAAATATAAAAAAAATAAAAACCGCCGCACAAAGCAGGCGCGCAAGCTAAAAGATAACACAACTACACACACACACACATACTAAAATATACATATATATATATATACGTACATGCGTAAGTTATATAGAATATTTGTAAGCCAAGCAAAAAGTAAACTGAACGAAATTGTAGTCTTAACGAAGAAAAAACTGATGTTAAAACGAATTAAAATACTAAAGGCAGACACTGAAAACAAAAATATTAGCACTTAAGCAAAGTGAAAGAGTAAGAGGAAGAAAAAAAACGGAAAACCTATACAATAAAGATATTCAAAATATGCTAGCTAAATGAGCAACAAGTATGAAAGTATATACACAATATACCATATACACATATATATACATGCATACATATAAATATATATACTAATTATATGCCTAGGACATAGCGAGACTATTCAAAAGATATAAAAAAAAAAAACATAACTAAAGCAATACATAGACACTCAAATAAGTGTGTTACACGAGTATTTAGCTAAATACAATACATACATAAAAAATACTAAACTAAATACTAAGCGCAAGAAGCGGCAGCATAAAAATCTTCAAACTGTTGTTTTTTCCCTTTGTACGAAGCGTATTGAAGCCTTTTTTGTTACGTAACCATTGTTGAAACTTGGCCTAAAGCTAAAATAAAATTATTCTAAAAAAAAAAAAAAAAAAACTTGCGGCGCGCAAAGGCAACTGCGACGGCGGCAAAATCACAAATTGGTGCAAAATTTGGCTGAAAAATCGATTAGAATACCCAAAAAAAAAATTAAAATAAAAAAGAAATTAATCGAATATATATTTTATGCGTATGTTTGCCTTAAGATCAACCACATTTATTTGCTCCCACAAAATAAAAGATCTATATAAAAAATAAATGAAAATCGAACCCAGAGGTTTCACAAATTACCTGCAAAATCCAAGCAGTAGACACGCCCCCGCAGCTGCCGTCGCCTCCCCCCCGCCCCCCTCCCCGCCCCCGCGCCCCTCGCCCCTCGCCTGCCAGCGCCGCACTTCAACTTGTTGACAAATTTGTAAACGTTTAAAGATAAAACTCAATTGTTGCATAGTTAAATATAACATTAAAAGGAAAAAAAAACAAATTTTTAAAAATCGAATCGTAACAATAATTAGAAATGACAAAAACAAAAAAATAAAAACAAAAGCAAAGAGAAGAAGAGAACGAAAATAAAAGCAATAATTAAATAATTGATATGCTCTAGTTGAAAACTACAACCACCAGATAAGCCCCATACACACACACACACACACACACACACTCACACACACACACACACACACACATGCAGTGTACTTAAGCCAGTCGCGAAATAGTTTAGGTTATGTATTTTTGTTGAGGTACAGTTATAAATGTCCTGCAATACCCAACACTGACACACACACACACACACACACACACAGATACACACACACACCCCAGACAGCAACTAATAAATCCAAGGCATAACTTAAGATATATACGTGATATTTTGAAAAACAAAAAGCAAAAATTCATAAATAAATTGTTTAGGTTAAAAAAAAAATATAAATATATATATATATATATACATATACAAATGGCATATAATTATTATGAACATTTTTGCTGACATACATACAAAATGATAAAAATGATAAAAGAAAAAAACGTTTAAGATTTAAAACTGTTTGTAACTCAATTTATTGTCTGACTCTCGAGGACAGAGGTTCTTAAGTTTTTACTGAGCGCAGTAGTCGAAGCAGATTGTGTCCCATCGTCAAAAGAAATCTATTAAGTTTATACACGCGTATATACACAAATATATAAATAAATAAAAATAGTGAATATTTATATTGTATACTACATATACATAACGTCAAAGCATATAAATATATATATATGTGCTAAGCAAAAACTAAAAAAAAACACAAATTAGTCAAAAAAAAAATATATATATATCATAGCAAAAGGCATAAAACTGTAAAGCTAAGTAAAACGAAAAACAAACAAAAAAAAAAATATTATTATATATACATATTTTAAAGCAAAAATCAACTGATTAAAGTGCGGCTCAAGTTAGGAGCAACGTTTTTCTAGAATTAAGTAACAACCTACCTAAAAAAAAAAAAAAAAACAGCAATTAAATGGAAAACTGTAATAAAAAAAAGAAAACAAACGCGCAGCTCTAGAGTAATTATATGCTATATATGTGGAAAAGCGACAAGATCATCACAATTATTTAAAAATATAAAAACAAACACAACACACACAGAAAGAGAAAGGAAAGCTAAAAAGAGAACTAAAAAAAGGTAAAAAAAAAAAAATAAAGCAACAGCTACTTAATTATTTTTAGCATAAAGAAAAAAGAACGCACACTAGAAACAGACTCTCTTCTTATTTATCTATTATACTTATTTATTTATTAATTGAATTGCTTTTAGTTGAGTTACACTTTCGACGCACAGCGCTTTAGCATATGCGTATGTTAGCCAAAAAGTCTGATACCCCAATCCAATTCCAAGATCCATTTTAATTTTCCAATCAGAAACCCAGCCACCGATGCCGCATCATGCACCGCCGCATGCTGCCGCCTGGGAGTTTGATGATGGCAGCAACAATAACAATCGCAACAATAGCAAAAGCAACATCTCGGTGACAAATTGGCGCATGTCCATGTAGTCTCCCATATCATGCCTAGTCTAACAGAAGAACAGAAGAACAGAAGAACACATGCACACACAGCAGCAAAAACAAAAGAAAAAGGAGCACAGGAGCACAGCAAAAGCAAAACGAAAACAGAAGAAGACGCAGATGAAGAAAGGGAAAGAACAACAACCAGCGCCTTGGCCCGCAATGCGTGTCTCGTTGCCAAGCAACGAGAGCGAGAGAGAGAGACAGACAGACAAAAGAGAGAGTGAGAAACTAAGAGAGAGAGACAGACAGAAAGTGAGAGAGAAGGAGCAGAAGGAAGAGGGCAAAGTTCGAGCCACAACGGCAGAAGACAGAACCAGAACGATGCCGCTGAGAGAGCAAAAGAAAGAGAGAGGAAACCAAAATGAAGAGAGAGAAAATACCAAACAAAAAAACAGAAACCAAAAAAAAAACAATGCAGCATTGGTGGCGCCACACTTGAAATTAGTTTCATAATTTTTCGTTAATTTTGTTTACCCCGATTGTTCAAATTGTTTCATAGTTTTCTGTATTTCGTTTCTATTGTTCGTTGTTTCGTTTCTAAGCCCCAGACTCTTTCATATTATGGGCTGCAGTTCGTGCCACAACAACAACAACAACGAAAAGCAGCAGCAGCAACAACAACAACTATCACAATTGGCAGCAGGTTTAGGCAGGGTTAGGGTTAGCAAGTCGCAACGTCGTTTCCCCCCTCCCCCCCCCCCCAACTCTAGAGATTAGGCTCGAGTCGAGATCAAAGCATATCCAAACTTCTTCAGGAATTCTTTCGATTAACACCAATCCCAATCTCATACTAACCCGAATCGAATCTCTTTACCCCCCCCCCCCCCCCCCCCTGCTACTATTTCCCTACCCACTCCCCGCCCCGCCCCCCTTGCTACCGACTGTAGCCCAATCAGTGAGATGATACTGAAAGCGAACGTTTGGCCAAACCTAATTTGTTTCGGGTTCAATTTTGGCGTTCCGATTAGCAGTTCTTCTATATAATATAAATAAAGGTCTACAATTTTTCAACTTTGGCCGACTAACAACAATTTGCAAAATTTTCAACGTTTCTTCTAATTAATATATACTCTGTATTTGTACCAACTCATTTGATTTTTTGGCTGCTTGCGCGTACTAAATTCGTTGCCCTTTGTGTATGATGTGTAATATAGAAGTTTTTTTTTTTTCTAAATTTCGAAGTTAGCCAAACAATTACCAATATTGTCAAGCAAATAAATGAGAGCCCGAAACGAAACTATTGATTTTCTTTTCTTTTATTTTCCATGTTTTCTCCTACAACACAACACGCACACACACACACAGTCACACAGAGACACACACACACACAGAGAGATGCGCGGCGTATACGTAATGTGCACAAAAAAACTGTAGCATACTTTCAGGACGCTTCAAAGTGCAAATTCGCAAACGTGCAAC